TTGGTGCTTTTCCCAAACGATTGCATTTCTACTGTGTGTGTGTGTGTGTGTGTGTGTGAGCAGCAGAGCTCAAGAACAAACTTGAGTTATTTCCGTTCGAGTCTTCCCACCTCGGCAACAAGGCAGGAGGCCTGAACACTGAAAGGTCAATGACCTCCATAAGAGCTGCATGGGGGGGGGGGCAGAGTGGGGGGATCACAGGCGTGAGAGAACAACACATACGTGTGTACGGTAACTAGTCCACAGTGGTAGAAGACAGATCTGTTTGTGACTGTGGGTCAATAATCCAGGAAGAAAACAGGCCAACAACAAGAGAAACGGTTTCCAGTGGAATAATGATGGGGGGTTAAAAAGCACTTTGGAGTTTGTTGGTCAGCAGAGAGACACACAGAGAAAAGGTCAGAGGATTTGGAGGAGGAGAAGAGATGGCAATGGGGGAGAGAGATGGATGAAGGAAGGAGAGGGAAATTCCCAGACACACCTGCTGGGTTTGTCCCATGATGAGCGTCCCGTGTCCCTGTCTGCTCAGTGTCCTGTGATAGGACCCACATGGACCCAAACATCAATGATCCCCGATTCCTCCGTAGATTTCAGAGCGCTTTCATCTTTGATTACTTTTTGACACCTTATCGTTTCCTTCTCTTGCTGGTCCCAGTAAGGAACGACGCAAACACACAAAACCACCATCGTACAAATCCTTTGCTTCCTCCATTTCGTTCACTTTGTCCAGGATATAATTTGAAATGCAGAAAATCTGCCAGGTTTGGTTTGGTTTGAAAGTACCTCAACTGCTGATTATATGAACCCCCTGGTGCTTTTGGGTTAAGGTTGTAAACAGTTGAGCTTTCCCACGGTGGTTACCAGTGGCAACACTCTGCAAATGTCCATTTTCTCAGAGACGAGGAGTAAATTGCACAACTTTGGTTTTGCAAACACTTAAGAGTTCATTAAAGCAGCTCGCTCGTGCACACACACACACACACACACACACACACACGTGTGTGTCTGCAAGAACACAAATACACACAGAGAAACACTTGAGCATATTTGATTTAATACCAGGCTGCCAGGGGAAAGCAAACCATGCATTAAGCCCTGTGGGAAAGTTGGAATATGAGACAATTCAAGCAGCAAAAGCCCTTAACTCTTTCACCCAAAGACCCTCAACGCCGGTCTGCAGACCTCGGGGGCCTTTAGGGTTCTGTGTCAAGGTCAACAGGGTCACAATTCACTGCTTTGCAAATCCTGCTTTGTCTCCGCTTCACCAACCTCACGCACAAAGACACACACAGACGGATATACAGAGGCGCACAACAATGCGTCACATATCCACACCGACACACACACACACAGTGTTTGTCCGGCTCAGTGAGACACACATTTCCCTGAAGCTCTACAGGCAGTGAAGATAAATGAAAATGTGGTTTATTTGCCTGAAACAGTTGGAAACGGCGTGCATTGGTGGGCTCTCGTAGCGCTTCTCTCCCCCCCGGTGAGCGGGCGAATGGGGCTTGTTGCTGGTGCAGCCGCTAAATGTCCGTCCGCGGAGCTGTGGCGGTTCCCCGGGGAGACGCCGAGGGCTCCTCGGCTCTAAAGAACCTCCGCTTGGTCACTTCTCAGCGTCTGTCGGGAAAAGCTCTCTGTGACATAAATGTATTAGCTTCATTACCTTCAGCTGTCATTCCTCGTGTCCAATCATCAGGTCGTCAGATCGATGATTTAATGTCTGCGGCTGTGAGAGGAAGCGTGATCAGTGGTAGCAGCGATACAGCCGTGAGTGGGCTCAGCAAGTGGGTTTGTTGTGCTTTCGGTTTGTGGTATTGTGACGAGTTTTGATTCGATTGCCCCAGGAGGTCTTTCTGAAACGAGACATCGGCGCCAGAAGAAGTCTACTGCGTGTGTTTGTTCCACACGGAAAGCAACACAGATGATCCTCCACAGCAACTCAATGGTCGTTTTTAATTAGCAAACCTGTGGCGGATCCCCGTGTATGAACTCGCTGCTCCGGAAAATACTCATTTATTGTTTTCCTTTGGGTGAAAATACATTTACTACACTTCAGCCTCATACGTGTCCATTAAACTATCACACTTCATACATGTATAAATTACATGACAATCACGTTCACATTCACAACGATTCCGTTCACCTTTTCAAAATAAAAGTCCCGTTCATCCATTAGCGAGAAAGTAGCATTACGCCTCTATGGATTCTTCAAACGAGACGATGTCATCCAGTAATTCATCAGAGAACCAATGAGGCAAATACGACGCAGGCAATCAGCCCAGAACAATAAACCTTGTTTACAGGGATTATAATCAGACATTTTGATCTGCAATAGATGAACTAAACTAACTACGTGAGCGTTTGATTTCATGAAGCGTTTCACGTCGTGTTGTGTAATCACGACTCTTCTTTCACAGCGGATGTCAGTGATTACGAGGAAAAAATACTCGCATTGAGCGTGAAGTCGATATCAGCTGTAATCACATCATAAAGTCACATTGTTGAGTTGTTAAAGCGGCTGCAGTAATTCAGACATTACAGATTACTGCATTGATTTCTGTCTGTTAAGGCAGATTGAGCATAATAGACACTAATAGAAATTCACTTTTTCACACGCACACACACACACACACACAAGAAGAGCTGCAGAGACACGTGGAATAAAGAGCAGCCGAGCTTCACAGGACGGATCCTTCAGACTTGTTGTAACATCTCACACACTTGGTCAGGGTGTTGGACCCTGAGGGTCATCTGGGTTTGCTGAGCACGTCGGCTCCCCGTCATCACGACCCGCAGAGTTAATCAACAGGATCCCGCCCGTCCAGAACTGACCAGAAACTCACAATCTTCTTGTCAAAAGCGGTTTTGGAGTAGTTTTCATTCCCGGCTTAAACGTTGAGCAGAAATAGTTTGGACCTTTGCAAACAGCCGCTAGTTGTGTGTGCGTCTGTGCGCGAGTGTGTGTGTGTGTGTGTGTGTGGAGAGATTGACGGGTTAGGCTTTGACCTCTGCGTGTCGGCTGCAGCAAAAACACGTATGATAACATCGCTCTCTGTCCCCCTCTCTCTCACACACACACACGCACACACACACTCACACACACACACACACACACACACATGCACACGCCTCTAAAGAGTCTCCTCCATCACTGACTGCAGAGGTGCATTCATTGCAGCAGAGAGAAACGCACACACATGCACACGCGTAAGCATGAGCCTCACATGCTGACTCAGGAGCACACGGGTAGACAGACACATATGGGCGAGTCACACACACGCGCACACACACACACACACACACACACTATTAGGGAACGTGGTTCTATCCTGCAGCAGCGACGGCAGCGGGCACCTCAAATTAAACGGGAGGAATAGAGCTGAGCAGGCGTTTCATAGCGGCGACGTTGTGTGGACGAGTCATTGAGCTCTTTTTACTGCGGCTGCAAAACCTAAATGTCACTTTGTTTTATTTTCTTCCTCAAGCGGGTTTTTCTCAAAAATAACACGAATCGGCGGGCGGCAACCTCCGGGCACAACGTGAGCTTTGTGGCGGAATCTGAACCAGACGCTGCTGCGACAGGAGGAAGATGGCCGAACCCACGCGGCCCACAAGACGCACACGCCGCGGACCTGCAAAGTGTTGACGTTGGACGGGGTCCGAACGGGCTTTATTAAAGCAGAGACGTGTGGAGGAGCAACTGACAGGCAAATTGCAGTGGGAAATTATTGTTATTTCACAATTAAATTATATACACTGGGTGGAATCATCTCCGACCACAGCAGCGCTCCTAGTGTGTGTGTGTGTGTGTGTGTGTGTGTGTCTGTGCATGTGAGTGTGAAACTTTATCCGCCCACCGAGGCCGCGGAGGCTCCGCCGGCAGCCAAGAGATGCAGGAAGAGATTCGGAGCGAGAGAATTAGAGAGAAAGAGAAGAAGAAGAAACATCAGCCGAGGGAAGCGGAGTCTATTTTGGGCTTGTTGGTGAAAACACGGCTAACGAGGCCTTCTGGACGCCGCCGTGTGACACCGGCGCGTAGAACACACCCGGCTGGGCGAAAACCAGAACCCGCTCCGTGGTCTCGCTGTGTGCTGATACATGCACATGCTGTGAAACGGGGTCGCCTTGAACGCAGCGAGCCGACCCGGCGAGGACGAGCGGCTGCAGACGTTATTCGCGGGCGAGAGTTGAGGCTGCTCCTGTTTTCCGTCACGCGGGATCAGCGGCGCTCGGTTGGACGTTGGCTCCCGCGGTCGACATTTTACAAGTCCGGGAACCAGGAAGCACAATAAACGGCCGAGTGGATCCGCATTAAAAGCTTTTTAAAACATGTTTGTGCTCGTCGTCCCTCAACACTTGACCTTCAAACACTAGAAGTCACTTCTTGATAGAGACATTTAATAAGACAGGGCGGTATTTTATTTGGGCCGGGTGCCGCGTTTCCTCCACGTATTCCCCGCGTTCCGACCACGTAACGTAAGTTGTGTGTCTTTGTCCAGTCCGGGTTTGGCAGCAGTGCGTCTTTATGTCCCGAGGGACGTGATTGTGCTCTAACTGCCCCCGTCGGGTGTTTTGCATTTGCTGCATTGGAGGCTGCCGATGCGATCTGACCCCCCCCCCCCCTCCCCGATGGGATACAGCTCTTCCGTGATGTCTGTCTCCTTCGTGGAGACCACAGAGAGTCGATGGTGTCGGGTTCCCTCCGCACGCTGTGGTGCTGCTTCATTCCGCCTCGGGTCGACGGATGTGTGTCCATTTGTATACGTGTGTGTTTGCTTATGAATAAAAGCTTTACGAGCTCCACAGAATCACTTCTGAGACCCGGATGAAGAGCCGCTCTTCCTTTAGGGGCATATTGTGGAAGTTAAACCTCTATGAAAGGAGATTCCAGAGGTCACGGATCAGGTGACGAGAAGTCGAACCGGCGACGGAACGTGATGGAACAGTGAACCAGGGTGACTTTCTAACGTGTTTCTCTGTGTGTCTCCGTCCAGCACCCTCAACAACAACAACATCACCCTCATCCCGCTGTCCAGCTTCAACCACATGCCCAAGCTGCGGACCCTGTGAGTGCAACGCACAATCACACACACACACAGAACACTGCTAACATGTACCAGAAACACTCACTCTGCGCACACACACATGCCTCTTTTTATACAGCACATCCAGTGTGCACACAAAGCTACACACACACACACACACACACACACAGCATGGCAGCAGTGTGCGATCATCTAATCAATCCCATAATAAGACCAACTCCTCCATTGTTTCATGTCTGTGAATAATTATGTGGCCATTACACACACACACACACGCACACGCACACACACACACACACAGAGAGAAGGATGACAAATAAGTGCATCACCACAAACACACTTGAGAAATGGAAACCTCATTAACGCCACAGGATCGACTTGTTTAGGCTCTGGAGTTCAATCTGCTTTGATTAATAAGGAAAAACCTTCTACACTTCGGACACACACACACACACACTGAGAAACACACACACACACACACACACACACACACACACACACAGTCATGATCCAACATGGACCCCGCGGCCAATCATCCTTCCTGATTGATAATAAGGGGGCTTTCATTTGTGCGTCTTTCTTTCTGTACTCGGGTGTGTGAGGAGGGAGTTGCCAAGGCGATGGCACGGCATCTCGAGGGGGGGGGGGGTCTACCCATAATGCAGTGGGACCGTCTGAGAGAGAGAGGCAGACAAGCGGGGCAACAAACGCAACGCCGGGGCGCCACGTGGGCGCCTCCTATTTCCTGCACGCCGATCAGACTTCGAGTGGCAGCGCGGCTCAAAATCAGCCGTTGGAAATTGGATTTCGACGGTATCGCAGCGGCGCGGTTTGCGGCCAATCGAGTCCAGAGCTCCAATATCCAGAATCTTCTAATCAGAAGCCCTCGTGAGCTGCGAGTGTCTCCTCGGGTTCCTTTGCTCTCCGCTTCCTCTCGCGCTTTCCTCCCTCCTTCCTCCCTCCTTCCTCCTCCTCTCAGCCTCCCATGAAGTCCCTGTCTTCCTTTTCATTGAACCTGACTGACTCGCTTCCCTTTAGTGCCTCCTACCGACGTCTCCTTCCGTGGCTTCCTTTCCTCCTTCACAGGCTTCCCCCCTTTCCTTCTGTCCTCTTGTGCGTCCCCTGTGGTCCTCCTCTCCTTCATACGTCGTTGCGTCTCCTTCATCTTTGTCCCCTCTCTTTTCTTCTCCTCCTCATCTTCGACCTTCTCCTTTTGTCGCCTCCTCCGTTTCACAATTAGAGTCCTTTCATTTTCTTTCGCCGCCTCCAGATTAATAAAAAACGACTCTTTCAATCAATTGTTTGTCCTGTTCTCGCTCGTGGCGTCTGCGTGCTTTAACATTTATATTTCACTCTTTCATCTGCTTCTCTCTGCGCCGCGTTATCAACCCGTCTTCCTTTGCGCGAGTGTCTGCCACACACACACACACACACACACACACACACACACACCCCCCCATCACCCCTGTGGTTTAATCCTACTTGTCAGTAATTAAGGCTGAGCCGGGGGTGGGCCGGGACGTCGGGGGTCTGACTATAAACTGGATTTATCACGGGAGAGCGGTATTAAAACCCTCGGCCCCCGCCGCCAGCATCAATGAGCCCGTCTCCGTCCCGTAACAGGATTTGTCCTCTGCTTCATTACAAAGGGACTCGTGTGTTGTGCAACGTGGCGGCGTGGCGTGTGGCGAGGCGCCGCGTCTCTCTGTAAGGTGTCACGCGCTGCGCGTTTATTAATGCTCACAAGGGAACACGGGAATGGACATTAGGATCCCGCTGACCAGTTCTCCAGATTCACAGAGCGCAGAGGAGGAAAACTATCTAAAAACTCACTACCAAATCTAAATGTGATGCCAGATGCATGTGAAAAATGCATTAAATATGTCCCTGTGTGGTCATAGAGACGCATCCTTCCTCTTCTGGGTACCAAATCAAGGCAAAATGAACACAACGCCCCCGAAGTCATGATCATCTACTATTATTTTCTTATTTTATACATTCCCCATTTCATTTTTGTGTCCACTTTGTTCGCGAGATTCCTCTCCCTCTGCTCGGGCCTCGTCCTGAAGAGATGTGATTTGGTCATATGAGTCTTCTCATTGTCCCGGACCTTGGGGATATGAGTGGAGGATATTACTCTGTGTGTGTGTGTGTGTGTGTGTGTGTGTGTGTGTGTGCGCGCATTTCACCTCACAAATAGCCTCGTGGTTCTGGACCAAGGATGTAAACCAACTATTTGAATTTAGTTGAATTTCTCACTGAGCTGATGAGATTTTTCTGCTCACTTCAGATCTTCAGATGGCTTCATTTCTCTCCCTCTTTTATTTCTCCGTCCGTCTGTCTGTCTCAGGCGTCTCCACTCCAACAACCTCCACTGTGACTGTCAGCTGTCCTGGCTCTCCGATTGGCTCAGAGTCCGGCGGGGCTTGGCTCCCTTCACCCAGTGCATGGCCCCCGCCAACATGAGAGGTCTCAACGTCCCAGATGTGCAGAAGAAGGATTTTCTCTGCACTGGTGAGACACCCATCCATTGAAATATCAAACATTTATAGAGGGATGCTTTTACCTCGACCACCATTTGTCTCAGGTTTGTTGTTGACTTGCACCGAATCCTCCACACTCGCTTACAGCACCGAGACCACCAGCTAAAAGCTGCAGATGAAGACCTGTTTTAAAACACGGTCCAGCTGTGCTCTCTTCGTTCGCCTTTAGCCTCTCTGTTTAGAAATGTCGTGCACTTTGCAGGTCCGGCGCAGACGGAGGCGAGGACCTGCGTCCCTCAGGTGGCCGTGTGTCCTCCCAGCTGCAGCTGTAACAACAACATAGTGGACTGTCGCCGCAAAAGCCTGACTGAGATCCCGGCCAACCTGCCCGAGGCCATCGTGGAGATGTGAGACTGCTTTGTTTTACCTGAAGTCTGCGACCGCCGGGGTCCTAACGGACTCTTCCATGAGATTCATTAATTCATTATATTTCAAAATATTCCTCCAGTCTGTTCACACATGTGTCTCGTTTACATATTGTGCCAAATGTTCTATTCTATTGTGTTCTGTGCAACAACAACGTCAGGTGAGGATGTCCCTTTTACTCTGAATTCATTGAACCCTGTAACTGGTGAACTAAATCAGGTCAGGTATCAGGTTCCTCCTCAGGGATCTTTAGATGCTTTGATTCAACATGAGCTCCACCGAACATCTGGTCTGTGGCACACAGAGTCTGTGATTCCAGAAGAACTTCGCTTCGCGTCCTCTGCCCTCCCCCCCCCCCCCCCCCCCCCCCCCCCACAGCGGACGTGTTTGATATCCGTATTGATCGTTGTGCGTTGTCAGTTTGTGCAGAGGACAGCTGGTTGATTGCTGTCTGATTGAGGGAGCAGATCCTCCCCCGCAATGCTGCGCCAACCCTTGCGTCCCCCCCCAACCCCCCCCCCCCCCCCCGGCATAAGTGATAGATGCAAGGCCGCATTCACACCCACATATGCACACGCACACACAGGCACGTACACGGGCACAAAGTACAAGTAGATGCGTTGTGATTGAGCAGCAGACACCACAACATATGTGATTAAATATTTGTACACACACACACACACACACACACAGACTGCATTTGAAGGCAATAGTTTAATAGGGTGTCTTCCTACAGTAGGAACAAAGCCATCTGAATGCTGCGTGTGCGTGTTTGCAGCATGCAACCGTCCATTTGTGTTAATAAATTCATAGAGCAATTTAGAAAAGGTTTGTCTCAAGGCGTTTAACATCATTAGGACTTTAATGGTGTGTGTGTTTGTGTGTGTGTGTGTGTCAGTTGCGATCAATCTTCGCCTCGCCTTATAGATCCGTCATATCGCCTCTTCTTCCCTTTAACACGTCTCTGATGTTGAGCCTCCGAGTGACTTTGACTCGACCTTGTTGGGCCTCCAGGTATAATTTGTGACTTGTTGTGTCGGCAGATCGTCTCCGTCAATATGTGTGCGTCCTTGATTTGTTTTCGCCCCTCGTAGAAACGGGGTGTCGCTTGCCAAAGGCGTCAGTTGTGGGCATTTGGAAAGCGACACGGGCCTCGGCCCCCTGCGAGCGTTCAGGAGGAGCAGCAGCACCAAGGTGGCGCCCGCAGAGTGAAATACCAGCCCATGTGATCAACGTTCACAATCTACGGGCGGTGTTGGGCTGTGATAAAGTGCGATGAGAGATAGACGGATGGACAGATAGGAGAGGAGCGAGAGGGTCTGAGGAAGAGGAGGAGAGGGAGCAGCAGGGCGGATTCGTCCCCATCCATCACTCTGACGGGTGACCCTGCTGCTGGCACCTCGCCGCATCCTCCTCTCCAGGCCTCCTCTCTTCTGCCCTGTTGTCCACACCTCCCCCCCCTCCCCTCCTCCTCGGATGAATCCATTCTTGTGCCAGTTTCTCCCTCCTCCTATGAGTCCTCTTTTGTTTCAATTTTATTTATCGTCTTTCTTTTTTCACATCGCTTCCTTCCGCCTTCTCCCCTTTCGTCTTTTCCACCGCAGCAAGAAAAAAAGGAGGAAAAGATTAATAGATGAACGTGTAGCCTCCACCAGCAGGAGAGCAGTAACCTGCAGTACATTTCCCCAACGTCGTCTTTGGGCCTCGCCCTGAAGGTTTATCGAGGGAGCCGTCCTCCCTTCGGCCTCACCCTGAAAACAGTTCAAGGCGACGCTGTTACAGTGAAACCAATTGACCCGCGTGCAAAGTGCGCCCTGAGGGCGCCGTGGATCAAGTTAGCGCCTCGACATGCTTTGCCCCTGGACACATTTATAGATCACGGGCACCGCGACTGTTACCGAGGAGACGGGAGTCGTGTCTCACGTTGGTCGCATTTCAGCTTCCGTTGTTTCCACGGAACGTTTCCCAGTTGCGAAGCATAATTCTGAATGTTCTGTGCCCTGCTGATGGACTTCACGATCACCTCTCTGCCCTTGTTCAAATTCAACAAACAATGAAAATAAACTTCTGTGGAATTGTGTTAAAATGTTCTCATCGTCTGTTTTAGGGGTGGTGCGTTTTTCAAATGAACTTGAAGGGTTTGTTTAAGCTCATCTCCCCCTCCTTTGCCTCTCTCTCTCTCTCTCCCTCTCTCTCTCTCTCTCTCTCTCCCTCTCTCTCTCTCTCCCTCTCTCTCTCTCTCCCTCTCTCAGTCGCTTGGAGCAGAACTTGATTAAAAACGTCCCAGCTGGAGCCTTTTCTGCCTACAAGAAGCTCAAGAGAATGTAAGTCTGTGTGGATGCACACCGTCTCACGCAAGTGCGTGCATACAATTACACACTGATATGCATGGACATGACTCCAGCAATCTTCCTCTATTGGTATTTAATTGCATTCAATCATTAAGACAACCAGATTGGTCCTGATCAGGTCAACTGCAACAACAACAAGTTTCATTCACATTTACTTCCAAATAATTGAAGTGCACTGAAATCAAAGTGGACCCAGTGTAGAACCCAGGGGCACTCCAAGGTTTAAATAGGGGTTTACACGTCTCTTTGCTAACTCGTATCCGCTCACCTTGACCCGTGTCGCCGTATTCTCTGCTGATCATCTGTCAGACAGTTCAACGTTCACCCGCCTCTTCCTCCCCCCAGTGACTTGAGTAAGAACCAGATTTCTGACATTGCTGACGACGCTTTCAGTGGCCTCCGCTCACTCACCTCACTGTAAGTATGACACGCACACACACACGCACACACACACACGCGCACACACAGACAGGAAAGTAATTGCATATCCAGACATTTAGAAAATAAAAATGTTGTCGCTGTCGATGTTGACAACCGGACCAGAGCGCCGCAGACTGTGCGTTCGCGCTGTGGGTATTTGTGTTTGCTTGTGTGTGCGTGTAATTGTACCTATGTATGTGGTGTGTGTGTGTGTGATTGTGATAAGAACATGAAGGACAGTTTAATTTAAATCAATCTGGAGCATGAAAATGAGACAGACAGACAAGACGGGGTAGACAAGGTGACTCACACACACACACACACACACACACACACACACAGGGACACACACGTAAAACACACAAAAACGAAGCCAAGTCGATTGGACAGAAATGTCACTGCGAGGCACAACTGACGGGCCAACACCTCCACAAATGTGAAATCCTTTCACTTCATATGATTCAGGGTCGCATATCGTGAAGGAAGAATTCTGAATAAACCGTCATTGCCTTGAAAAAAAGAACGCAATAAATATTATAATAAAAATGTCCCAAAAATTGACTTGAAGATGAGACACACGTCTGAGCCGGCAAAGGAAGTAACCTAAAGATGTTCTTCTGACTGTCCCGTGCAGGGTTCTGTATGGAAACAAGATCACGGAGCTGCCCAAAGGACTGTTTGATGGACTCGTGTCCCTGCAGCTGCTGTGAGTTCTGCTCGTATGTGTCTACCTGTGTGTGTCAGTGTGGGTCCTCCAGAAAACCATGAAGGGCTTATCCAGGTAACAGAGGAATGTCACATGGAAACGTCCCTGTATGTATTTACAGTATTTAAATACAAAAAGGGATTAAATCATCAACATGAACCAAATGTATAGACAGCATTCACCATCTACAGCCTACTAGGAAGAAAAGCATTTATTGTGAGTAATTGCTCATGGGCAGAGGCTCAAACTGCAACGGCCAATGTTCTGGACTTTTCCACCGTAAAGGGAAGCAAAGCAAAGAGTGAATCTAACCCCTAAAAACACCTTGGGATGCACGGTGCACAGTCAGGCACACAGACAGAACAGATGGGGGGGAAATACACGGACGCGAGCAAGGAACATAAATTCAGACATGATTAGGAGGGACGAGGGAAAAGCACGTTTAGTCTCCTCTGACGCCGCGTCAGGATGATGACGAGGTGATGGAGATGTGATCCATAGGATCGTTGGAGACACGGCAGGCCCGTGTGCATTCGGGACCGCCTCAATCGTAGAATAGATGAAGTACTGAGGGACTAGTTAATGCTCGTGTCTACCAACAAAGACGCAGCCTGCAGGTGGAGGCGTCTCCCTCTCAGGAGGCAACAGGGAAACAAAGAAGCACACGTTGGGAACTTAAAAGAACTTTTATTCTTCCCAATAATTACACATCCCATATTAGCTTCCTCTGGGGAATCCAGCAGCACGTTAACCTCCCATAACAAATATGTGCTCATTGCTTCGTATTGCTGGCGGTCTGCTGTTTATATTCTCTGCATCGCTTTGTTTTTCTGGTGCAGTTTCAAGTAATTAGTTCCCCCCTGCGAGCTGCCTAATGAGGCGTGGATATGTCGCAGGGCGGCGTGTGTGTGTGTGTGCGTGTGTGTGTGTGTGTGCGCGGGCAGGTTGTGCCAGTACAGGCGCTCGTTAAGTCGTCTCGACATGATTAAGCTGCTTTCGCCAGCACCGAGTTTGTCACCTGTCAGACACACAAATACACAGGAAGGAATGTGAGTGCGACAGAGAAACAAAACAGCAGAAAACGTTTTTTGCGTTGAAAGATTGAGGCGTAAAAGAGCGGAGGCGAGCTGTCGGCTGTCCGATGGTATGAAACTGATATGTAGGAAAGGGTGGAGGTGCTTCCTGTCATTTACTTAATCCCTCCATCACACTCCTCGTCCTCTCCTCCGCTTTCACTGCCAGCCTCTTTCACTTAATTCTATGTCTCTGTCACTTAGAGCTACATATTTTTTGCATGTGCCGTTACTGTCTCGCTCCATCATTTCCTCCGGCCCGTCTCCGTTGTTCTGTCTCCTCTCTTCCCCCTTTTCACCCTCGCCGTGTGCCTCTGCCATCAAAACAAGATATCACAGCCAGACCCAACAGAAAGGAAATGGAAAATATATCAAAACGTAATTTTCAGATGTATGTAACCTGCCAGAAAATATCCAATCGTGAGTGTGAGAGGCTGCAGGACGGACTTTCCCGTGGAGAAAAGTGCATGTGCATTTATCGTATGTTTGAGGTAACAGACGTCAAATTAAGAGATGGCTCTTTGCTTGTGTTTCAGGCTGCTGAACGCCAACAAAATCAACTGTTTGAGAGTCAACACCTTCCAAGATCTGCAGAACCTGAACCTGCTGTCGCTGTACGACAACAAGCTGCAGAGCATCAGCAAAGGGCTGTTCGCCCCGCTGCGCTCCATCAAGACTCTGTGAGCGCGCTGCAGAATCATCCACGCCACCGTTTACACAACTGGCACAAATTTACATCATTGATTAATGGTTTTGCAATGTTGGTGGAAGCTGCTCAGCTTCTAAAATTGGACGTGTTTCCCGTTGTATAAGAGAGGAGGAGGATTTTAATTTAAAAGGTTTCGGACAGCTAGAATATGACACCAATAGGACTGCACGGTTTACCGCGACGCTCCAGATAGACACATGCATCCACGTCGTTGTAATCCAGCAATGTGTGTCCTCTACTCCTTCCTTCTCTAAATGGCCTCCCTCCCTCCCTCCCTGTCTCCCTGTCTCTCCTGCTCTCAGCCATCTGGCCCAGAATCCCTTCATGTGCGACTGTCACCTCAAGTGGTTGGCTGACTACCTGTTCGACAACCCCATTGAGACCAGCGGGGCGCGCTGCAGCCACCCCAGAAGGCTGGCGAACAAGCGCATCAGCCAGGTGAAAGGCAAGAAGTTCCGGTGCACAGGTAGGAGACCAGCTCGCACACGCTAGTACAGACTTGTTGTCATGAAGGGTGCAAAGTGGATGACTTCCTTTTGATATGAGATAATTACAACACCAATTCACTGCATCCCGCAGCGGCTGCAGGAGTGTGTGTATGATGGCGCTTATTTGAATTGTGTGAGAGCGGTGGTGTTAAGAACATTACTAGTTGACGCGGCAGCATCGACGAGGATATCGGTGGTTTGTTTTATCAGGGTGGAGAGGGAGCGCCGGGGGAACCGCGAGGTTGGGCGGTTTGAGCGGTTTGAGCCCCGGCTGCTCCATGTCCGGTGTCCCCTGAGCAAGACACCTAGATCCTCATTACTCCCGGACAAAAATGTAAAAAGCCATGGGTTGAAAACGTAAAAATGTGACCCTAAAGGAAAAGTAGAAACGAGAGAGTGTTCAGTGAAGAAGCGTCCGGTTACGTCCTCCTCGCTTGGTCCTCCCTGTCTGCAGTCTCATGTCT